CACATATATGTTTCATTATTCTCCCACATATTTTTGTTTGTTTGTTTTTGTTTATTGTTTTTTTTTCTTTGCTCTTACCTTAATGGTTGCCCAGACCTGTACAATATTTGACTGATTGTTGTGATCCATGAAGTGATAATTTACAAACTTTGAAGAAATTCACTTTTGCAAAGGCAGGAAGAAAAGTTCTAAAATAATCAGTGTGTGCTCTTTAGTTACTGTATTTTCCTCTGACTCAATTCCTGCGCAAGTTTCTTAATTTGTTAAGCTGTTAAAAGACGCTAGCTCAGCAGGGCTCGTACCTTTTGACAATTAATAAAACAAGAGACCCAGGGGCCACATCGCTCACCTGAGCACTGTGGCAAGGAAAAAAGGAAAAATCAGTTTAGTATTGAAAAGCTTAAATGCATAAGTGGTCCCAACCTACCCCTAAAAGGGAGTGGGGGGTATGATTTGAAAAAAATTAAATCTACACTTACTAAGGATGCTTACATGTTTTTTTGACTGTGACTTTTAATTCTACAAGTTTGAACTTTCATTGTGGCCCCACCCTACCCCTGGAGGTCATGATTTGAACAAACTTGAATCTACATGTGTACACTATCTGAGGATGCTTCCATATAAATATGACAAACAGTGGCTTTGATGTTCTTGAGAAGATTTTTTAAGATTTTTCCTATATATTCCTATGTAAAAATTTGATCACTCATTGTCGCCCCACCCTACCCCTGGATGTCATGATTTGAACAAACTTGAATCTACATCACCTGAGGATGCTTCCACATAAATATGACCAATCATAGCTTTGCTGTTCTTGAGAAGAAGATTTTTCCTATATACTCCTATCATAAACTTTAATCGTCCATTGTGGCCCCACCCTGCCCCCGGGGGTCATGATTTGAACAAAATTGAATCTACACCACCTGCAGATGCTTCCATATAAATTTTACCAATCATGGTTTTGCTGTTCTTAAGAAGAAGATATTTGAAGATTTTTTTCTATATACTCCTATGTTAAACTTTAATCGTCCATTGTGGCCCCAACCTACCCCTGGGGGTCATGATTTGAACAAACTTGAATCTACACCACCTGAGGATGCTTCCATATAAATATGACCAATCATAGCTTTGCTGTTCTTGAGAAGAAGATTTTTGAAGATTTTTCCTATATATTCCTATGTAAAACTTTGATCGTCCATTGTAGCCCCACCCTGCCCCCGGGGGTCATGATTTGAACAAATTTAAATCTACACTACCTGACAATAATTCCACATGAGTTTCATCTTTCCTGGCCCATTGGTTCTTGAGAAGAAGATTTTTCAATAACGCCATTAATTTTTTGCTACATGTATTTCGTAATTATCTCCCCTTGGAGGAGGGCGTGGCCCTTCATTTGAACAAACTTGAATCCCCTTCACCCAAGGATACTTTGTGCCAAGTTTGATTGAAATTGGCTCAGTAGTTCTGCAGAAGAAGATGAAAATGTGAAAAGTTTACGACAACAACGACGACGCCAACGACGCCGACGACGACAGACAACGGACAAATTTTGATCAGAAAAGCTCACTTGAGCCTTTGGCTCAGGTGAGCTAAAATGTAACTCGAGTCCATTAAAGGTAACTAACTCCCTCAACCTATGGAACTAATATTTATGTCATATATTTAACTTCTTTGCTGCACTCTCCTCTCTTTTCTAAAAATATATCAAATAGAACATTTGAAAACTCCTTTAGTTAATTCTCATTCTCACAATTCATTTTTTAAATATGTTTTCTATTCATTCTTGGTGTACTTAGGTGGAGTATGAATTTTGTTTTTAAATTGCTAAATAAAGCATGAAGAACAATCAGTTAATGTCTTTTTGGCCTTGTCATCCATAGGATATTCTTTAAGACTATTGGTATCTCGCATAAAATCGGGTTCATCGATAGGTAAATAAATAACCGCACAAAAAGAAAATTGGGCCACAAATTTGTGTTAATTTAAAAAAGATATTTTCACTTTTTTGCATGTTTTATGATTGAAAAATGAAAGACTTTGTAATTGATATTTTATCTGAAATGTAAAGATACAGAAAATTTCAGCTTTTGCAATATTTGAACCTGAAAATCATCTGAAATCTACTCAAATTGGTGCAGTTCTAAAATCTCTTCTAAAATGAAACCAACTGAAAGCTGAATTAAAAAAGACAAATTTTCTGATAACTGCACATGGTCAGGACATAAAGCCGTCACCAGAGACTTTCATGCTGATCTGTCTTGTATCCATCTCTGGAAGTCCCCATGTCTAGTTTTTTCTTATATTTGTTTCTCCACCGGTACCGATCTTCTCCAGGTCTCTTTTGTTCTTCCTCTCTTTCTCTTACCGGTCGATGTCCATCTCAATGCAAGCTTTGGGATGGAGGTTGGGTGCATTCTACATATGTGTCCTATCCCCAGCCATTTTCTTTTCTTTATAACTAGGGATAGGGAGTGGTGTTAGTCCTATTGTACAGCTCTTCATTTGAGATGGTATTAGGCCAGAAAATGCGTAATATTTTGCGAAAACAATTTGTCTGGAAGGTATCTAGCTTTTGTAACTTTCCATGATTCAGCACCACACAGGAGGACCCCAAGCACATTATTCTTGAAAATCCTAATTTGGTATTTATTCTGATCTTTGCTGACCTCCAGATGTTTCGCAGTGCAACATACGCTCCTGTGGCTTTAGAAGTTCGAGCTAGTACATCTATCTCAGAGTTCCCATCTGTAGTGATCTTACTTCCTAGGTAGACAAAGTCTGTGACATCTTCCAATTTTTTTACCATTTAGAGCGATTGGTACGTCTGATTTTGTGTTGACCTTCGTGATCTTAGTTTTGGTGTTATTAATTTTCAGGCCAATCTTTCCTGCTGGTTTTGCAAGCTGGTTGTTGTTGTTTTTTTTTTTTTTTTCCCAAGTCACGATGTCGATGAGCTAGCAGTGCTATGTCATCTGCAAAATCTAGGCCTTCAAACATGACATAGCCCAAATGACTCTCGGTGGTTCTTAGTATGATCCAGTCAAAGCAGAATGTGAAAGAAGAGAAGAGGGAGAGCAGACATCCTTGTTTTTACTCCAGTCTTCAATTTAGAATTCAGAATTCAGAATCCTTTATTTCTTGTTGCCATATTTTCCATAATGCTTTATTATATTCTTGTGTTTATAATAGATACAGGTTGATTAATTAATTAATTAATTGTATTTAAATTGCTAGAAATTGCAAGAAGGAAAAACATCACTCTTATAAGACATCATAGTTCCGTAGTTATTATTAGATTGTGGTAGAAACAAGGTTGTTAGGTACAATATTTAAAAACGTACCAACGCCCACTCTATCCTTTTTTAATGGTATCTAGGTACATAAAAGTTTGAGATAACAAAAAATATCAATAAAGAGACATTTCACAACCTTACACTTCAGCCTATCCTTAGATATATTTATTCATAATCTAAAGAACAATTTTCATAATAACACAAGGGTTTAAATAAATAAATCTGATATGAAAGGCTATCCATTTGATAAAAAATCACTCATCGTATCTGGATGTATGCTTACAATCAAGAAAAAAAGGTAATTAAGTGATTTAGTTATGGGTTCATATTCATCAATTGGTAATGGTTCTAGGTATATTGAACACTATAAGGAACTCCATATACTTAATTAATCATCATCAGGCTATTTATGAGATTATGCCGAGTTCAATTAACAGAAGAAAACGAAAGATAACGCATATTTCGGGTATTTAAGTCATTGATTATGCACAACGTACAAAGAGAAAATTGCAGAAAACTCGGATGAATTGTAATTTTTTTCCATCGTGCATCGTTCGTAAACTTTTGAACTTTTTAGTTTCTTCAGCGTTGCAAAACTTGTGAATGTCATGTACAGAGTCCTCCTTGAGCTTGAGAGGTATAATCAAACCATCAGAATTCATCCAATTTTCAAACTTCCTCGTTTTTCTACAAACGTCAATCAGAAAAGAACTGTAATCATGATTATAATTAGTACTTAGATGTAATGTTCTACATCAGAAAAAAACGGGACTCCAGATCTATGGTTCTGGACCCAGGGTTGTGCAACATGTATGTTGACCATAAATGGAAACTACATTATATCTTTAAATATTTTCATCTTGAGTCGTAGACATGTAGCAGGCAAACTACTTGCATTATTTCAATGTGTACTCCCTGGAATTGGTTTTGTTATACTGAATGCTGTACTTTCAGGGCCCATGAGTCTATGCTTTCTGACCAGCATGGGCTAGGATGGTCATATATTAAAATTTTCTTCTTTACATGTTGTTTGTATATCTAGCAAGTAAACTGTGCTCGTGAATAAAGTGAGAAGCTGGTCTCTACCGGTACCAAACATATCACATTTATGTGTCCCGGTCTAAGTTCAAGTCCAAGGAATGCGGCTACATTGACCGTATATTAAGATTAGAACACATTTTTTGGTCACTTGTGGTTATCTTGCATGATTATAATGAGGAGCTAGCCATCTACATGTACCATGGTTTTGAAATCCCCTTCATTCAAAATTCAGTCCTTATGGTGAAGCGCATTTGGCCCTTTATTAAAAAAATACATTATACATTGCATTTTAAATATTCCTGGACATTTGGCAGGGAAAATTCGGGGTAAGCCAATTGCCCCTTACATAATTTGTATAATCTGGGTTTGAAGGTTAGGTTAAGTTCATCATATACTTAAAATGTGCATTATCTTTAACATCCTTTTTACACCAATCATCTAGGAACTTCACAAATAAAGCAGTTATATGGAGTTCTCACCAAAATTTCATCTCACGAGTCCAGAGTTCCATCCAGTTCCAGAATGGGCTTAGATGGTCTCATGACACTCAGGTGACCATCACAGCCCACGAGCCCCTTTTTCCAAAAATATCATTTCTTTGGGAGCCCTACACGGAAATCGATATCACGTTAATCGATTAGATGCGCAGTTAGTACTTGTAGAGCTCTGTGTAAAACAAGTGATTGAAGAATTCCTATCTTATAGAAAGGTAACAATATTTATTTTTTATCATTATAGGTAAATGTATTTCTCAGGAGGGGTTATTTGACATGCATCAAAAAGAAAAAGAAATTGCAATTATTAAACTATTTTCTTGTAAGATTCGAGTTTTCAAAAGAACCTTTAGGGCTGTTTGGGAACATTGTTAAAATTTAAAGCTATTTGGATACTTCACTCTAAGGTATATGTGGAATTGCTGCAAACAAATAAAAAACTAAATCTGAACGCTTTGGTGAGCTTAAAGTCGACTGATAAAAAGTAAGTTAAAAGTTGTGTGCCAATAAACCTTGGATACCAAAGAATTTAGATGCACAGATATGTACATTGGGGATTTTACTGTATCAGTTCCCTTTATTATGCGGTAAGTAAAACGATTTACAATAGGACAATATATTAATCGAATTTGTTGAGTATTGGAGTAAAATGAATACATGAAAAAATAACTTCTTTGAAAAATTAGCCTACAGTGTGAATTGTTAAAGATGTATTATAATATTCATTTTAATAATATTATCGACATAAGATCATGGTTCTACAACCATGAAAGTAAAGATATTTTTTAAGAATTGTGTTGTAATACTGAATGTCGTTATAGGTGTTTGTCATTTTCACAGAGTAGACTTTCTATCCAATTGATCCGTGAAGATGAGTAAAGAAGAAAATATCTTGGAAATATCGCTTTCAAACGGAGGGGAGATAAACAAGGGATATACAGCAACAGATGTCAGTATTTTTTAATTTCATATTATTTTTTGAAGTGTACTTTTCAAATTTGATATCGTTATACTGTAAGGAGTTACCATGTTTGGTACATGAATATTTTTTTCAGTTATTTCAATAAATAAAATGTTTACAATTTCATTTTATAAAAAAACGAATTTCTTATTTACTCTTTGATTATTTAGCAAGATGAAAGCACAAAACCTGGTTCATCTAATCACACCTATACAGAAATCAAAATGGGACACGAGGAAGCTGAACATTTTAATGGATGTGCTAAGATAGCTGACAAAATCCAAAAGGCAGTCGATGCTATTTTCAGCAAATATCAGAGTAAAATAAAATTTGCATTCAAAATACTTCTACTATTGCTGTACTTTGCATATTTCGGCTATGCTATGTACTATAAGTTTGGGGACGAGGGTTCGATTCGTCTTCTTGTGTGTACGATCTTGGGAGTGATTCTTTTACTGATTTATGTATCACAACGACTGCTTGGGTCCAAATTCCAGATGAAATCAAATGAGAAATCGTTCGCTAAAAAGACAAGAGTGAGAAAAATTAAGCGATATACAGGAAGGTAAGAAAATTTCTTATTTTCCAGTTTTCTTAGTTACTCAGGATACTGCATTCTTGTTAATATAATGCGCCGTGTGTCATATAACAACGAAGATTTTAAGCTTAAGTTAATTGTTTCTCAGTTGAATTATATCTTTGAATTATTTTACCTAGATTCCTCATGGTAGCTGTGTTTGTTATATTAACTGCATATATTATTTATGACGTTCTCCTGGACTATCCACAAAATGCAGTGTCTATCGCTGGACTTGCCTTATACATCATCATCTTTTATATATTTTCGAAAAACCCAGCTAAGGTATTTTAATTTTGCATACACGTTTATAAAATCGTTTGAAAAAAAGACGAGAAAACACTTGACCGATTTCACTTTTTTAATCCTTTCCAAGGTGAAGTGGAGACCAGTGTTCTGGGGTTTTGCCTTACAGTACATTTTTGCCCTCCTTATTCTGAGAACGAGCTGGGGATACGAAGCATTCCTTTGGCTTGGTGACAGAGTCACAGAATTTCTCAACTACTCTAATGCTGGTGCAATTTTTGTTTTTGGAGAACTTTACACCAATCACTTTTTTGCATTTAAGGTAGATCTTTTTTTTTAATTAAGATTTCTTGATAAATGTTCAAAAGGTTAAAAAAAATCAATCAAGCACGATAATGATTTGTAATAAATTAACCTTCTGATATTTTAGCATTGGTGCACTATGTAAATGATTTTTTTTTTTCTGTTTCTTTTTAATTTACTGTAGATATAAACACGTATTTCCATTAAATATTAGTCATTGTAATCTTTTTAATCTTAAAAAATAGTTGCAAAGATATTCTCTTAATACAGGTCCTTCCAGTAGTGGTTTTCTTCTACACCGTAACTTCTGTACTCTACTACTTAGGAATTATGCAGGTTATCGTCAAGAGGATGGGAATGTTTCTGGCATTCTGTCTTGGTACAACAGCCGCTGAGTCCCTGAACGCTGCAGGAAACATATTTGTTGGAATGGTAAATGGAAAGAAAGACTACATTATTTAAATATTTATAGAATCTAAAATTTGAGTCTGGACAAACATAACAGAAAGTTGTATTTTTTTAATTAAAACATAGAATCCAAAGGAAATAAATGATTGCATTAAAAAACTGATATACTTTATCCAAGTTTTAGAAGGTTCACAGGATATCTTATTTTCATTCATTTTACAAGATATATCTTCTAAAAGTTATAAAGATCCATAGACAGTACAGTGAAAGAATTCAATGTTTCAAAATGCTGATTTTCTTTTCTGTATAATTACATCGTGTATTATTGGTAGACAGAGGCACCATTGATGATCAAACCTTTCCTAGAAGATATGACAAACTCGGAGCTACATGCTGTTATGACTGGGGGTTTCGCTACAATCGCTGGGTCTGTGCTGGGAGCATACATCAGCTTTGGTGTATGATTTGTAATTTTTTTTTACATTCTTCGATGCAAACATTTTATCAATATATGCACAAAAGATGCCAGAGCAGTTGTCATTCCCTGGCAATGCTTTAAGATATTTGCAGAACATTATTATTAAACACTGAGTATTAGAAGTATTTGTTAAACACTGAGTATTAGAAGTATTTGTTATTCTAGTTAAAGAATTGGGTTAACCTTATAATAATAGTTTTCAAACAGAGCTGTTAACTCTTCCCATTTATAATTTTTGTGTTCTTCACTAAATAGGTCCCAGCTAGTCATCTGATTTCGGCATCTGTAATGTCTGCTCCTGCAGCACTTGCCATCTCAAAACTTGCTTACCCTGAAACAGAACAAACTAAAACTAGCAAGAAAGACTTTGACAAGATGGGCAAATCGTGAGTTATCCTACTATCCACTCTTTGACCTTCAAGCCATCAGTTAATTTCATATAATGTCAAACTAAATTCTTCTTGATTACATTTTTTGTTCCGTGGGTTGTATTGTTTGCGTCATCAGTACCATTTCTACCGATATTTAAGTTATTACATATATTTCTTCTTGTGTATTATTGTTTAGAACAGACAGAAATGTTATAGAAGCCATTTCGTCAGGAGCGAGTAACTCAGTAAAGATTGTAGCTGCTATTGCTGTGAATGTCATGGCCTTTCTCTGTGTACTGGAGTTTATCAATATGACCTTAGACTGGTTCGGGAGCCGTGTTGGAGTGGACGGTCTTTCTTTTCAGGTTTTCCTGTTTTTCTCCTCTGTAAGGCCATTCCATGTTTTTTTCTGTGTTCAGCGTCCATCTTTCTGTCAAAAACCTACCTACGTATTCGCAAAAATCCCACAAGCCAAAATGTAAAACAAAGACTTTATAGTCATAAAAACGACATCCTTCAAAAGACTTGCTTTAATTAATTTATCATTCTTGTAAAAAAAAAATACATTCGTTAGGAAAGTTAAGGTATTAAATGGAAAATATATACCAAATTTGACAGATTAAAGACAAGTATACAAAAAAATTGAGAGTTCAAAGATTTCCACCAATATAATCAATTTCAGGACTCCTGTTTTTGTTTTGTTTTGTTTTTTCTGATGATCTGGGGAGTTAACTACAAAGGCGCGTGAGGACGCTAAATATAGAAAAACTTGGAATGGCTTAATATTAAAATGGAGATTTTATTTAAGTAAATTCTATGTCAAAATTATTGCATATACGTTATACTTTCAGTTGATCTGTTCATATGTATTCTACCCGATCGCCTTTTTTATGGGGACGGATATACCGGACTGTCGTCCTGTAGCGGAACTGATCGGGATCAAAACTTTTACCAATGAGTTTGTGGCTTACAAAGAGCTCTCTCATCTAATTGAAAACAAGAAGAATTTTACAGATTATAAAGCTATCTGGAATTCTTCTTCAGACTGGCACTATCGAGGAGAGGATATCATTCTGCCTTACTTTAATCAGACTCTCAAGAAAGGAATTATATCGGTATATATTGTTAATAGTTCTTGGGTTGGTGGCTAATTACATTACACATTAGAACTTAAAATAAACCATCATTAAGAATGATATCACATTCAGTAAGATTAAAAAAATGTTATATTTTTGGCATTTTGAATCACTTTTCAATTTAGTCAAATAATCATTCATACTTTCCTTACTTGAGAAAATCGGCAACGAGACAGGACCGTTACTTTAAAATTGCAAGGAAAATCTAAATGTCTGAAGAGAGGAAGATAATTAAATTTTCTAATTTTTCAGGACAAGTCTGAGGTGATAGCTACATACGCCCTGTGTGGTTTCTCCAACATAGGATCAATGGGGATATTTCTGGGCGGTATGTCTGCCTTAGTTCCGTCAAGGAGAGGAGATTTGTCTAAGATAGTTGTCAGAGCAATGGTAGCGGGGAATGTCGCCTGCTTCTTAACAGGATGTATAGCAGGTATGACGTAATAAAGAGCTTAAATAATCTTTGTTCTTTAAATTTCAGAGCATGAACAAGAATTTAACTTTGATAATTCTACTTTACTTAGGTTTACTTTATAAAGACTACAATACAACATAACATCGATGGTTTATTCCTCCAAGATGCTGAGAATAACACACTACAAAGACAGATACCCGCGGGATCGTCATTCCCCTCTGAAAAGGGTGTTGTACAGTGAAAACCCAAATTTACTGCAGGAAACATATCATGTAGTTAATATTGTATTTATTGCTGCTCCGATATCCGTAAATCTGTTAATCTCAATCGAAACTCCCCCCCCCCCAGTGTCTGGATGGTGCAAAGAAATCAGTACTTAAAGCTTTGTCAGCTTATAGTTGCCTGTATATAAGCAGAATATAATCATACGTATTGCCAAGGTGATATGCATAAATTGAGGGAAAATAACGAAAATGTGTTCACTAGAATCATATAACATGAACATTTAACTGAGGTTTATAACGTTATCATTATTGTAAATATATAGTTTGCATGATGTCAATAGAAGAATCGTGAAATGTTTTGCTTTTAAAAGAAGTGCTTTTATGTCAAATATGTTCTGTAAAACTTTGTTTTATTTATTATCAGCTTCAATTAAAATGATTTTTATCATTTTTAAATATTCGAAATTCTAAAATATATAGAAACCAAGGCCATAAATATATCTGTTGTTTGATTGTACCAATGATATTGATACGTTTTATGATCTTTCAAGAAAGTCACACTTTAAAGTCAATGTCGTGGGGCAATAAGATTTCAAAATCATTTCCGGGTAATAACTTGGAATTCAAACATGAGTAGGTTGCTGTTGACGGGGTAGAGGTATAGTGTAGCCTTGATTTGATGCCATGATGTTCAGATCATATACTGAAAGTCAGCAGACATAATTCAGGGAATGAGAATCCCCCCCCCCTTAAAAAAACAGCCAATGATGTGCTTTTGAAAAATATATACTTACAATAGAAGATCGTATTACTTTAACAAAGAAATATTGAAAGCATTTTATAAACATTTCATCGAGAAAACATCCTTTGGATTACTTCAATCTGAGCACGATTAGTAGAAGGAAGAGAATTATCTTTGTCTACCATATTAGTCTCCTTAAGACTGTTCTTACACAGCCCCTATATAAGCTGAGTTCAACGTATATCGCTTCATCTAAAAGGATGTCTCTTTCATTGTCATTGTGACATACTTGGACGCGACAAATATGACTTCTGCATGCCTCTGTCACATCAAAAAAAAAAAGAAATACCAAATACATTCGATATCGATTGCACAGGTCAATGTTACGAAGTGAAATATACAAAAATGCACGTTCGATGGCATAAAAAGGACAATATATGTGATATATACATTTACTATACGCAGCAGCGATCAGCTAAAAGTAATCGGGTGTAACGAATGCGAAGGGTTATATACCTCAGTGTTTTTATAGGATATAGGAAAACTGATATGACGTATGCTTATTTATTAGTCAGCTTTTCAGCTTTTATATTCATTTTAACAAATAATGTGCAACAGTGGCAGTGATAAATATTAAACCCCTACAAACTTGCATGAATCTATGAATCTTTGTGTTCTATTTGTACGTCGAACTTGTAAGGCTCGCAAAAAGTGCATTGAGGGTGTACACACAGTAAGGCAAGAACTTCAAAGAACGAAAACTTATAAGGCAAGCATAATCGTGTGTACCGGCCTTTAACTATTATAATGCCTTGGACTGTATTAGTCACTTGATCGTGTTCGATCAGTTTGCTTTGTTGTACTAGGAGTATAACATCGTTGAATACATTTGTAGATGAATGGTTCTCACTGATGCTCTATTAGGGGATTTTTAGGTAGAATGAATAAATCCATTATTTTAAAAAAAGATCAGTAAAAATATCCCAACCTCAGGCAAAGATGTTTTCTTTGAATTATTCAACACCATCGAGTTATTTACCTTTTACTCAATTTTTAGAATATATTATGTAACTATTATTTTTGGGAATAATTTAATAGATTTTAAATGAAGATATTTCATAAATGCCAACCACTCTGATACTTGCTATATACATGTATCTAGATTGAATACAAATTGGATAACACACGAAAATAAAACTGATTCCTAGCTATATTTTAGCAAATATCACAAACATGTACAAGAATCATAAAACTACAGTTTATTTTTAAGAGCCTTGCAATGTTTACCAAGCATTGATTTTTTAAAGGACCTGGTTATCAAAAGAACATCAACAAACAACTTAATTGGCAAGCCTTAATTTAATCTAAAATTTCTTGATATTATAATGATATTTAATTATCTTATCTTAACAGTCAACTGTACTTTCTGGTTGGAAATTAGGTCTATTGAAACCCTTAAATCCTTAACCGTATCTGAACCTGAGATAACCGATATATCCAGCACACCTTTGATTTCTCAATGGTTCATTGTTGTGTATTGCGCCTTAGAAAGAGGGAGCAAGAAGGGAGGAGTGAGAAAGAGAAAATAGAGATGCAATGTGATCTGTGTTACCGGGTGTATCGAAAAACATGTATAAAACCATACTCATCCGTGTTTCATTCCAATAGTTTGACGGTATAATCCTTTTATTTGGAATAATTTATCATATTCATTTTATATGCAATTTATATTTAAATACTACATGTATAGTTTAATCAGCTAGGAAATAGAAAAAGTTTCCCAGGACCTAGATAGATTAAGATATACAGTAATCAGTGTTCAGTTATGATGGCACCTTTTAGTGTAAAAGTACAAAAGCTTTATTTCAGAATGTAACTGGACAAATTTTTAATACCATTTAGGTGGATTTTAGGCAATAAATTTTGATGTCAATAAATACAAGTGTTATGATTGCCCAAATGCAAGATTTTACAAACCAACGGTGACTGAATACAAATATTACAACATTCATTTGTTTGCACGTTGAAATATCTTTGGAACTAGGTACTTTATAATGATATTGCGAGAGATTGATGACTCTTCGAAATACTGATGTCGAATGGGCGACTTATCTTGTTCAAGTAACACTACACCAATATTTTATCTTAAAACGGAGAAGGAGGCTTTTAAATATTTGTGTTTTTCTTTATGGTGAATAAAATGCAATACTGGACTTTCCATTTGGAAAATGACAGTTTTCAAGGGAGCAGATGTGTGTGACTTACTTTGACCACTTCCTGGTGTTGTTTACTGGTAACATGATAAAATCTGATTAATTTTTCTCTAAAGCTGAATTTTGTCGAACCATCTTCTTACATTAACATCCTTTTTTAAAGGAGTATTCTGCATTCCTGTTTTTACTGTACTGTAAAGAGCAGCAATTAAAATAATCCTAACAAAATGAACTCTGGGAGATTGCAAGTCAATGTTTTAGAATATGTTTGATTAACAGGTACAGATATTTGAAATTGGATATTGAAAAAACATCATACAAGACTTGAAAAGCGCGGCATGGAGGAAAATAAGGCACATAGCACAGCAGATGTGCGTACTTTAAGTATACCCGTATTTTTACCATGCATGGATAATTTACTAATTTGAGAAAATTTCAAGCTTTAGATAACTGTCATCTATTACTGCACATGTGAAGCATATCCTGATTGCTTATCAGTTTTATTTTTTCTGTTGTTTCTTTTCCTGTCAAAAATTATTTCATTTTTATATTATCAGCATGGCTGTCAAAGAAGCAAAGCAACTACTCCACCTCATACTGAAATCAAAGTGGAATATGAGAGAGATGAACAATACAATAGATTTGCAATGCTGGCTGTAAAAATTCAGACTTCAGTCTATGTAGTTTTAAACAAATATAAAAGCAGAGTTATCCGTGTCCTCAGTTACCTTCTCCTGCTGTTGTACTTCGTCTATCTCGGCTACGCCATGTACTACAGGTTTGGGGACGAGGGTTCGATACGACTCCTCGTTTGTTCGATTTTGGGAACAATCATTCTTGTTTATATTCAGCTTCAGCGATTGCCTCAATCCAAGATTGATGTTTGTACATATCTAAAACAGGTCTCCAGAACTAACAAGGCCAGGATATTAAAACAGTATATGGGGAGGTATATGATGATATTATAAAGTATAATAATAATGATTTTGATAATAATGCTTTATTTATAAACGGTAAATCATTCAGTAGAGATAACGATAACAATATATTATAAGGGTTAGAATCTGAATTTATATGTAATTTATGGTAGAAATGTAACAAATAATACTCATGGTAATAATAATGATAATACATGTAACATGATGTCTCTTAATCCTTGACATAAAAAAAAACATAATATAAAAAAATGAAGAATGTTTACATTATAATCTAGTAATATATTTTTTTTCAAATACAATTAAAATACATGTTTAATCCTAAAGAAGAGACACATTTCATATGTATTTCCTGTGATTATCAAGATATTATATTTCGATTGATATACCCAAATACCTCTTTAGCAAAAAATATTTAATTCAGAGTGAAAATTTACGGTTTTGAAATTTTAGGTATCATCAAACAACTAAAAATTATAAAAATACATTTGAAACTTTGATGAATTCTTTCCTCTTTTTGATTATTCCTTATTTGAATTATTGTTCTTCATAATCATATTCAGATTCGCGCATCCATTCATAATAAAACTAAAATCATGATCTCCACGTGTATTTTATTTTTGTCCAGATTGTTGGTAGTGTCTGTGTTTGTTACTTTAACTGTATACATCATCATTGACGTTCTACTGGATTTTCCACAAAACTCAGTATCTGTTGCTGGATTGATTTTGTACATCATCATTTTCTACGTATTTTCGAAAAATCCAGCAAAGGTATTACTAAGTGAATTCAAAATTGTCTACATTTCACAATGTTTGTAGAAATTAGAGGGACAGAAGCATATCAAATATGTTTTGAAATGTAATGTTTAAAGGTAAAGTGGAGGCCAGTTTTCTGGGGATTTGCCTTGCAGAATATATTTGCTCTCGTCATTCTCAGAACCAAATGGGGCTACCAAGCATTCCAGTGGCTGGGTGATCGAATCATAGAATTTCTCAATTTTTCCAATACTGGTGCCAGTTTTGTTTTCGGTGAACTTTACGCCAATCATCTTTTTGCATTTAAGGTAGTTATGCTTAAAATTTTAAATGGTGCAGAGAACAAGTGAGGGTAAAATAATCGTTGTGATTTTTTTCATTGTAACAGGTTATGCCAGTTGCTGTCTGGTTCTGTTCCGTAATTTCCGTTTTATATTACCTTGGTGTCATGCAGGTCGTCATTAAGAGGATGGGTATGTTTCTGGCATTCTGCCTGGGAACCACACCTGCAGAGTCGTTGAATGCAGCAGCAAATATATTCCTAGGCATGGTAAAAAACAGATAAAGATATAAAAAATTTTGTATAAAATAATCTTTCACTAAGTAGAATTTTTTCACCTTTAAGCTCATTAATAGGGAAAAGGAATAATTGGAGTTCTTGGTGTAAATGTTGAAGATAACGAACAGTGACCAATCACACAAATCCATAAAAAAAAACAAATCGTGAACTGGGCAAAACCACAGACCCCGGGAAACACCAGGGGTGAGATCAGGTGGCTAGGAGGAGTAAGCATCCCCTGTCGACTGGTCACAACCGCCGTGATCCCTACGTAATGATCAGGTAGAAATAGTAATCCGTTATCAAATTTAGGATAAAACAATGACGTAACATTTGGTATGAAATATGTTAGACAAAATAGGACCCAGCGATAGGTTGCATTTGCAAACAAGGTCATTGTCACGATCATAGAATTTGCGAAATGCTGACTGTAAATGATGACGTTGAAATTCATGTAACATCAATTTATATGTCAGTAGCTTGCCTCGGCATAAAAGTTTATCACTTTCAAAGCATGTTCTTGCTTTTCGAATTGCTTGGGAGACATAAACACCATATGCAGATGATACTGGAGTATTACATATGTATCACATAAATAAGGGAAAGTGACGATGGAAAAGCTGAAGTCATCCGTTTGTCATAGAGTCTAATTGTTAACTGGCCATTATCGTCTATAGTCAGTGAAATACCCTAATATGAAACAGATGAAGAAGATTCTGTGATTCTTTTATGGAGATATCGAACCGACAATTAAAAAAAGTAACTATTGTTAATTGATTAAACTTCTTGGTGTAGCTCAATGTCGAGTTGAAGGTACTAGTAATAGTTTTCGTCTTTTTATGTAGAATCATTTGAATATATTCTTTTTCATCGATATATAAAAACAGGTAGGCAAAATAAAAGAGCACAATTAGTGTCCATCGAAATTCCAACAGATTGTTGGAAGACCTGGTCTATAAGGTCTAATATATAGATGTTGCCAATGAAGAACACCAACTTCAGAGTTCTTGTGTATATAATCAGAATGATTTTTTTAAAAAAAGTAATTTTGTAGTTGAACGATTACAAGATCTGAAAATTTACGAGTTTCACGTTGATTGGGGAAGCAGCTGTCTATGATGTCAAAAAGCCTGCTTTTAATTCATCGTGAAGAATAATTGTTTAAAAAACCCATGTGATGTTTTTGAAATTAGAAATATTTTGTGATTTTAGATTTTCCAAAAGTTCGTCGGAGTTTTTAGAATAAAAATCTGATTTACACTATTTTTTTTAATATACTGTAGTCTGAAGAATACTGAGATGTTCATTTTATGTATAGACCGATGGCCCACTCATGCTGCAGCCATTACTAGAGGATATGACTAACTCAGAGCTACATGCTGTGATGACAGGAGGGTTCGCTACAATCGCTGGTTCTGTTCTTGGAGCGTACATTAATTTTGGAGTACGTACATGTAGCTTGACCATACTCCAGAATTATAGAAATATATTACCATTCTTCCCTCACAGTTCCTCAATATACTTTATACTGACCGGCAAAGAATATTTTTAGGTATTTCGCAAACAAATACAATCTATCTTCTATAAAGTACATGCATGCATACAATGTTTTACTTGAGAGTAAACTATGGGAGTGTGCAAGAAAAAAAAAATTCTGAAAATTTGATTTTCTGTGCAGACTCAGTAGTACATTTTCCATTTGCATCTGTATTTGGTAAAGCTTTTGCGTATCTTTGTTTTCTATAGGTACCTGCAAATCATCTTATAACAGCTTCTGTGATGTCTGCTCCAGCTGCCCTTGCTGTTTCTAAACTTGCGTACCCGGAAACGGAAACGACTATAACTAGTGCTTATGACTATGGCAAAATGGGGAAATCGTAGGTTTTTTTTATTTGAGACAGTATATGAAATATGAAATGATTATTTGTCCACTGCTGGAAAATTCCATCTATTTGAACAGTTTTAAATATCCAATACTAATTTATTAAAATATTTTAGTAAATTTTTGTTTAGAACCGACAGAAATATCATTGAAGCCATTTTGTCAGGGGCATGGAGCTCAATCAAGATCATAACTGCAATTGCCGTAAATGTAATGGCATTTTTGAGTGTTCTTGAGTTTGTAAATATGACATTGGACTGGTTTGGAGAACGTGTTGGAATCGAAAATCTTTCTTTTCAGGTTTGTTCTAAATTTTTGCATATTAATTTCAAAAAGAACAGAAACTCATTGCAGAAAATTTGAAATAAACATAGCACAGATTCGTAAAAACAAAAACATAAAAATGAGTAAAACTTAATTCTTTCAGTTGATTTGTTCCTATGTGTTCTACCCGATTGCCTTCTTTATGGGGACGGACATTTCGGACTGTCGCCGAGTAGCAGAACTAATCGGGATCAAAACATTCACCAACGAGTTTGTGGCCTACTCGGAGCTCTCCCACCTTATTGCTAACAAAAAGATCTTCACAGGATACAAAGCATTCTGGAATACGTCCTCAGCCTGGTTTTATCGAGGAGATGATATTTTTCTACCGCATGTTAATCAGACACTAATTAAAGGAATAATATCGGTAAATGCTTCATCACAATATACAATATGTAAAGTCCTAGAGTTTGTTGAGACACAATGCTGAGACAAAAAAAAAAAACAGAACAAAATAAAGCAAAATATACATACCATTTTTAGAAAGCCATAAGAGTTTTATTGGTCTGAAAAATCTATATATAGGAAAAAGTGCATTACATGAAGTAAGATAATGCTTCGAATTTATATACATTCCTTGTAGAGTATTTGTATGATATGCCCCTCTTATTTACATAGCAGGGGTTTATGTTTCCAATTTTAGTGCTTGACCACTTTACCCTCTTTTCAGTTTTTGTTGAAACAAAAACAATAGAAAATATTCACACTTTCATAGGGAGATACGTCAAATTTTCAAAAAGATACGCTTTTAATTTCAGAATAAATCTGAGGTAATAACTACATATGCCTTATGTGGTTTCTCTAACTTTGGATCCATGGGAATACTTCTGGGTGCTATGACAGCTTTGGTTCCCTCAAGACGTGGCGATCTGTCCAAAATCGTTCTCAGAGCAATGATAGCAGGCAATGTCGCTTGTTTCTTAACAGGATGCATTGCAGGTATAACATTGATAGTAAGCTAATCAACTCATTAATCAATTAGCTCAACTATATTTTTCTTGATGTACGTTCTTCTATCTCTCAATTTCAATATTAAAACTATGCTAAAATAGAAATAGTAAAAACAAGAGTTCTACTATCTCTCAATTTCAATATTAAAACTATGCTAAAATAGAAATAGTAAAAACAAGAGTTGTTTATTTTGGAATATTTTAGTATATCCACAAACCAAAAGAAACAACCAGGCAATTTTCTTATGAAATGCAATTTCATGTCACATTAAACGATTATCAAAAAACATTAAGGTATTTCCCTTGGAAAATGTTAGGCTTTTTTCGACAAAATAATCAGGATGGATACAAGTATTAAAGTATTGTTAATACCCCCATTTAGAAAAGATTTTATATCCTGGACTTGCTTCTGCTTCACAGAAACAGTCTGGTACGAAATATTCGAAACCATCTTCGACATTTTTTTTTCAAAAGTATTCTATTGTATTTGAAAAAAAAACTATCTTTCAGTCAGAAGTTCTTGAGAAAAAGATTTTATTTAGTCAAAATAACTTTCTATGAAGGGAAAATACTTTTTTCTTTTAAAAAATGCTGTTAGTCCAGCTTTCGACTTTGTCAAGATTTTCATTACGGGTAAAGTCTTAACAGCTATGTGACTTGGGTGAATGCAATGATCCATCGACCTTGGTTATATATATGTTAAAAGAAAAAGGCATGAATAAACTGATAACTTTCCTTTATTCAGGTTTACTTTATAAAGATTATGGTACAACATAGAACAACCTTGTAGGGAGATTCTTACAGATCATTCATGGACTTTTCTCGTGGACAGAGAGTGTAAATTCAAACTTTATTACTCAAGAAATGGCATGTATTTCATTTATGATTTAGAAATAAAATATCTGAGTTTCTTTTTCACTAAATTATGTTTTTATTTCAAATAATCTTTTTTATTTCTAAAGCGAGAAGTACAATACCAATACTTTGTTCAGTGGATTAAAATTCATTGAACTTTAAGAATTCCTATTCTTCTCATGACTAAATGGAATGGCCCACAAATGCACACATGACGTAAACAGGTTCTAGAGTTTGCTATAATTGCATAATCAAGTCAATATATGAACCAATTAGTATTCTTTTATATGAAGGTTACTGCAGAAGTTTGAAGTTTAGCCTGTATAAACAGACGCTACAGGTAACTTCAAAAAGGACAACAAACGCTTCATAAATATCTGACCTGTCGTTATTGGTTTATAGAGGGGAATTACATCTGGTAGCAAAACAAACATGACAGATAGATGAGGATCTCCCCGTAAGAGCGAGTGGATAAGGCTTTGATGGCCTTTATCATCAAGTATACCTTTAACTGCAATTTACAAATACTTACTGTTGACGATCGCGACATTAACTCATTTACTTGTACCTTAACAAAAATACTATAGGTAACTAAAGTTTTCTATAGTTAAGTATAGTTTACTACAGTATCAAAGTTTTTACTATAGTAAATCAAGGTTTTTACTAAAGTAAATCAAGGTTTTTACTATAGTATAGTGAATCAAAGTATTTTTACTATGGATTTCAAATTGTTATATTTTATGTTCTCCAATTCATACATTTTTCATATAAAATGGAACTATTACTGGCATAATTATTCACATTTTATTTCCAAATTTTACATCACTGTTACCGAATTTAAGCTTTGAAATTAAAAAAAAAAGTTCCCGTGTAATGTTTCATAGTAAATCAAAGCATCAAAGTTTTTACTATAGTTAAATAAAGTTTTGTTAGGATTGTACCAATGAATTTTATTAGGGATGTCAACGAGTACCCGGTTAACCGTGTACTCGATCGAACGTCCGAGTATCGAATACTAAAAATGTATTCGGTTACTCGGAAGTGTATTTTTTCTTATTTCAAAGTACATATTTTTATCAAAAATTATCAAAAAGAATAACTTAAAACTGCATACGGTTATTAGCGTGTCGTCATGTACACCTGTAAATCACCCTTTATCGCTTGTGGCTGTGTATATACAGTAATTAGTGACCTATTATGGTCTTTAATTTTTGGATGGCTTCAATGATTGCTTTCAGTGAACATCGATTAAGTATGGTCTATTATCTTCAAATCATTTTTAAATTATTTAGTTAATGTTTGGCAGCGAAATCTGACATGCATAGAAATGCCGCTACCCACTTCAAAAGCGAAGAAATGTTTAGAAATAATTGAAGATTTAAAAAAATGTTGAAAGTCGGTTTGTGTAGTAAGTTTATACGGGGGAAACAACCATCTTATACTAGCGATTCCAACAACGTCCGTCCCTTCCCTTTGGCTAGTCTATTCATCACAAACCCGCTTCAAAGATTGTTCTCCTTTTGCGTTGATGAAATAGATCCTAAACAAGAACTGTAAACTATTTGTAATTTTTGATGTATCAATTGTGTCTTTTGTGTTTATTTGATAAATAAATTTAGTACCAAAAAAATCAATCCCATTGGACTCGATGTTTATTTGTATACATTTATAAACGTGATAAAACAGCTTTGGGGTTTGACAAAGCTTAACATGGCTCAAGAAAATTAACACACTTGTATTTACATTTTTACATGTACCGAGCACCTGGGTACTCGATCGGAAAAACGTCCGAGTAACCGATTATCAAAAAATGACCGATTTGACATTCCTAAATTTTATACATTGCAAGTATGAAATGTCTAGTTCAACATTGGATAAACGTACGTAGTCGATACAATAATGAATTATCAAAGGTTTAGCATATTATATGTTTAGAATATAAATTATACGTCCATCTGCTTATGACGTTTTTAAAGGAAAAAAATTGGATTTGATGTTGTACGATAGTTTACTATTTCCTTTAGGTGATAAAATCTGACAAACAGTATTACATTTTTCTCATTTCAATCTTTCACCACATATTTTAGGGACATCCGCTCTGAAAATTGAGATTTTTTTTCTTTTATCTAAAATATCATACGAGAAGATAATGCATATGAAAGAGTATGGTACATATGCAATGAATGATAATTGACAGATAAACCTACATTTGGGTACATGTATTTATACATTTCATTCATATTGTGTGATATATACTTATGAGGAAGTAACTTGATCAGCGTCAAAACTGCAAAAATCTTTAGAGACGTTTTAACTGCCACACAATTTTGAATTAAAAAAAACTTCTGATATACATGTGTAGATCCATATGTGGTTTATGGGTGGATATTTAATTAACACAAAGGTACGTTATTTTTTTTCTCTGGTCAAAACTATTGCTGTGAAGCATGGAGCAAAAGGTACCCCTCTTGACATGAGTGTCTATTGACAATCACATCGGGACACAAACTGAAATAAGGCCACTTTGGTAAATCATTAGTTTGTCGACAGGTAACAAGGGAATGTGTCCACAGATCTTCGGCCGGGTTAATGTGTGTGAAAAGAATACATTTTTCCTAGTGTGGTTTTACTTCTTTAATTAGTGGATATAATTCAATATACAAAAGGTACTGTATAAAACATACATATATTAAACAATACCTTTTTTTTTTAATTTACAGAATATTGTGTATGAAAATGTTGGAAAGTTAGTAAGTCATTCACTGTTTAAAACATGGTGTAAAAAGCTGTACACAGCAAGGTACTAAAAAGTCCTCATTTAGTAATTGCAACTGAAACGAAATAACATCATTACTCGTAGTTTTGTATATTCAATATTCCAGTAAATACATTAATTCGTACGATATCTTGTGCAAAGATTATTCAATAAATTGTTATGTGAAAAAAAAAATATTAAAGTTGGTATTATAATGTGTATGAAAAAAAGAAAATATGCACTTTTGATAATTGTTGTGTCCAAAACAAATTTTGAAAATATAAAATATTTGAAATACCGTTTAAAGAATATAGAAATGTCTTCTCGATGTTTAATGGCTTTGTCAATAAGATTTTTAAACTGTGTACACTATAGGTACTGTCAGTGAGAAAATTTATGTTTCAAAGGTAGATAAGAACCCGGATATACCGATCCGTGTTTATCTCCTATGGATAGTGTACTTTGTACACTGTAGGAATTTCAACGGCATTATGATGCGCTATGGATCTGACATAAATAAGCTGGGAATGACTTTATTTCACATCTATTTCTCAACCCTAAAAACTGCATAAATATCTTAAATTATGCCGCATATCTTATTATTTTTACATCAGATTGGTAGAGAAGCGTTTGAAAAGAAAATCATGAAATAGTTAGTACACTAAATTTTCCAAGACATCGATTACGTGTCCATCAACAAAGTAAAAATTAATATCACACGAGTACTTAAACTGTTTAGGAGTGTTTGACCGTTTAACCTAGGTTAGCTCAACAATATTAGTATTTTGTTGATAATCGTCAAGTTTTATTCCTTTCTTTAAACGCTGCAGGTGTTCCTTATGTGCTGGGGCCTCCATATGCATGTGATTTATACATGATAATACTTGTTTACCCAAATCTCTGTTTTCTTTTTTAATTTACATAACAATTTTTTTGAGTTTGTCGTCATGTTAACTTGTCATTACCCTTAATTTTTGTACACATTGACACACACATATGCAAACAATCTATCTTTACGCAAATATTAAAAGTTTCTCAAAGGGAAATCTGATTTCCTTGCGACTCGTCACATATTCTGCTTTGACAATTTTCTCTCAGTAAGATAAATACATGTATACCCAAAATTAAGCTGTTTTTGGAGACAAAAATCGTTCATTACACTTATGGTTTTTTCTAAGTTAAAAGTGATGAGTCATAAAATTACTAAAGAAACACAAACATTATATGGATTACTATCACGTTTTTCAAGCAAACTGAAATAGAATCATTTAATTGTCCTTTGCAGGTTTGAATCATTACGTGTTAATTTAGCTGAATTAACTCCAGTGCCAGTGATAAAATGTTTATTATTTACAATGTTTTACTCATCAGAATTATTGGTAGGCACATTTCAAAATGACCAGAACACGTTATCTAATTTCACTTCCTATATACTGCTGTATGCTACCTGCATATGCTACTTATTTCTTTGTGGTGGGTCGTAAATTTCCAAATTTATTCATTTACTATGTAGTAAATAGGAACACTTGTATATCGTGTCAGTATTTCTACAAGCTATCTGTGTTATATCCATTGAATTTTATTTACAAAAGTAAAATAAATCATTGTACAATGTCATATGTGAGACGTTTACAGGGTAAAAAAGAGTAAGGTCTAAATTTGATGCATTCTATAGTAAAGAAGAATGTGAAATTAGGACATTCTTAAACAGGTAAAATATAAAATATAGTATATATACATGTAACAGGACTAAATTTCTGTGAATTTATTCTTTCATTTTTAAAATATTTCTGTCATTATTCAACAAAAAAATGTCAACGCTTGAATCAAAAATTCATAATTGAACCTTATTCAAGAAAATCCAAAAATATTTACTTACGAAATTTTTGCAAATGAATATTTTAGCGACTATTTCTTTTTTTACAGCCTATGTTGTTTGTTAAAAGATATTATGTAAATAAGTTTAGAAAAGCGTTAATTAAGTTAAATTGACGTTTGAACAGTTGGTAAAAGACATTGTTTTCAAAGGAGGGGATAAAACAGTAGCAGGTAAATTTTACACATGCCCACACCACCATCCCAAAAAAGAACAGGTATAAAATATTTTGGCTAGTATTTTCATGCCTCCATAGTCGAAGATTTGGGGGCATATAATTTTTTACTGTGTCCGTCTGTCTGTCTGTTTGTCTGTTCGCAAAAACTTTAACCTTGCCCATAACTTTTGATTGGTTGGAGCTATGACTTTCATATTTCACATGTGATTTCCTTGAAACAAGTCCTTTCTTTGGGTACTAACATATTCGACCTCTCAACAATGACCTTTGAGTTTGACCCACTTTTGCAAAATTTTATATAACTTTAACCTTGACCATAACCTTTGAAGAATTGGTTCTTTTTAACTTTACATGGATATTCTCTCTGACAGGAGCTTCCTTTCGGTACCAACAATTTTGACCCTTTGACTTTGAACTTTGAGTTTTACCTACTTTTGAAGAACCTTTAACCTTGGTCATAACATAAGAACGCCTAGAACAAAGATATTTTTTTCACATGTGTATTTTTGTGACAAAACCTTCCCATGAGTATATTTATTTTGACCCTTTGACCATGTCCTTGAAGTTTGAGCTTCTTTTGAGATTCTTTAACCTTTGCCATAAGTTCTGACAATTGTTGCTATGGCTTTCATATTTCATATGTGTATTCCTTGTGACAAGACCTTCCCCTGGGCACTATTTACTTTAACCCTTTAACCTTGGCCTTGGAGTTTGACCTACATTTGAAAAAATATAACCTTTGCTGTAAGTTTTGAACATTTGTTGCTAGAGCTTTAATATTTCACAGGTGTATTCCTTGTGACAAGACTTTCCCTTGGGCACTATTTATTTTGACCCTTTGGAGTTTGACTTACATTTGAGAAACTTTGGCCCTCGCAATGAGCTGTCATACGGGAACATCAGTGTTTCACAAACACATCTTGTAGGAAAACATTTAGGTAATGTTTATGCAAGTGGCATTAATAGGAAGTGAAAGTGGTAGACACATACCATGTACAGGTCAAACATTTTGAAAGACTGATAATTAAAATACTTCTTTAAATATTGAGAAAAATAACGTGTTTTTTTTTTTTAATTTTCTGACTTAAGTAAAATTCAATTCAAAATCTAGTAAATGAATTTAGTCTTTTTGTGCTAGATCAATTATGACGTCATCGTTAATTGAAACTTATTTTTTTGCCCTATGTAATGGCTATAATTGAATTATGTAAAAAAAATAATAATAATAAATAAATAAAGCAGTTTTATGGAAATTTGAAATCAAGTCAAAAGTAATCCCGATACCTATGTTTAATTTAATTTATTTTAAAGAAGAGGTCAGAAACATGCATGTGAATTATTGTTTTCTTAGAGACTGTAGGCAATCTTGATACATATGAATAAAACTCCCAAGTATAAATTTGGTTTTCTTCATTATTCATTGAAAATTACAATTTAAATTTTATTTTTGGAGGGAGGGTGGGGGTTATATTTACCTTAAAGTTAAGAGACGGTGTACTTTATTTTACCAAACTATAGTTATGAAGCATCAGTAAAGAAATTCATTTCTCAGTTTTGACAAATGTATTGGAACCTTTCATTTAGTAGATCGTGAACTTAAATTGATCCTTACAGAAAATATTATATACCCGCATTGTGCATCGGGATGTTACTCAGTAATTAGGGAATGCGTAATTTAAGTAAAAAGATGTCTGCCACTATATATATATTGTACATTCATCTGAGAATACAATTTTTTCAACAACTATCCAAAACTTCGGTATTATTTTTAGATAAGATTTAAGTAAACATAATATATTTTAAAAACTTGATTTACAAAAGATCTTTGACCATACTACATAGGCTGTAAAAAGGTTACTTGAAAACAAAAGCCTTGTTCTGTCTAAATTATATTTATCCCAAAATGCTCAACTTTATTCCCAGTCAATAACACAGTTATAAATTTTCTTGGCTTTTCAAATTGTAGTTTAAACATGAGTGTACAACTGACATCCCTGGAGAAAAGGCCTAACGGAGGTGAAATTAACTATGGCTATACCCCACCGGACGTAAGTGAATACTACAGATCGTACAAACTATCCATAAATGATTTTAAAAAGATATAATTGGGGTATCATTTTTCCTACAAAAACCTTACAGTGACGGTATCAGTAGTTTCGCGACCCCACCCCACCCACTTCAATGACCTTTTTTTTCACAAGTGTCAACAACATATTGCATCAGTGAGGCTTTGTCCAAACCCGTTGTTTTACACGATGGTTTGAAAAATACATCCATTACATAACAGGAGATCAACAATGTAAAGGGTGGTTTGGAGATCATGATTTTCCGGGTTCTTTTATATTTGTACATGCATATAAGGCGCTGGCTAACATATTATGCATTGTAGCGATAATCTATACATAGAAATTCAGCTGCATTACATTCTTTTTTGTAGCGGTAGTGAGTATGTAGGGGTAATGACTATTTTAATGACTCGAAAGTCCGTTCAGATGCTCACGAAAAAAGGTAATTTTTCAAACAACCAAAACTGCACAAAATTACTGTATTGTTTTTTGTTATTGCTTAAATGTTATATTTTAAAAGCATTTTTTCTAACTTTTACTTTATTTATTGAACTACGTGAATAAACTCTAATTTTTTTAAACTGAATTAATACAATATTTTCACAATTTGATTGGCTTTATTACTAGGAAAGTAAACACCTCCAGTTGTGAAGATTTATCGTTGTGACCTGTATCAAAAGTCTAAAGTACAAAGAAAATGCATCCATCCTTGCGTAGATGGAAGCTATAGTGTTATAAACTTTTTAAAAGCAAATGATCTGCCAATAAAAAAAAATACAATTGAAATCAGAGTAATGTTTAATAAAACCAAATTGACGGATAAAATTTTGTATATGTAACATAAGTACTGTAAAGATCCTTCAAAGCAAGCAAGAAAGAAAAAATATTACCAGATTCATTCAAAAATGCCGGAAATAACCATTTGGGGCCAATTTAAATACAAAATTCTCGGGGTAGGTCACCCATCCCAACCAATGGGAGAGAGACATCCCTCCCAAACCACCACCCCCCTTTAATTTGGATCTTATACACCCAACCCCAACATTAATTTCTGGATCCGCCACTGCTTATGAACAAACAAAACCGGATGTATTGTATGTCACTAAACAAAACACTTGTTCTATTCAGTATGACAGTTTAAAACATTCTGAACCTACCAAAGTCTCCCAAATCCATGTTCAAGTGGATCCAGATGACGAGGAGCAGGAAAATTACACCGGATGTGCTAAGGTGGCGAATAAAATCCAAACTGCAGTCAGTATTGTTCTCAGCAAACATGGAAAGAAAATCAGTTTGGCTTTCAAACTTCTAATCCTGTTGCTTTACTTTGTTTATTTCGGCTACGCCATATACTACAGATTTGGAGACGAGGGTTCGATTCGACTTCTGGTTTGTACGATATTAGGAGTGCTTTTACTACTGATTCACATTTTTCAACGCATGTGTGAGTCTAAAATCAGTGTATGTTCTCAAAGGGACAAAACTACATCAAAGGGATTTCGAAAGGCAAGACGATATACAGGGCGGTAGGTTTTCATACAGTTTTATTTTATCTGATTATCACATATTAACAATCTTCAAAATAATGCAAAGAATCTTGTTAAGTAATTTGGTGTTTTCATCATCAGGTTTCTAATGTTAGCGGTATTCGTTGCATTGACTGTCTTCATTATTGTTGACGTCCTGTTGGATTATCCCCAGAACGCTGTATCCATTGCCGGTCTTGCGATCTATATTATCATTTTCTATATATTCTCAAAAAATCCTGCCAAGGTACGATATACTCAACATCCTTTAATCGTAATAAAGATCAACTCAACATGCCGTTTTTTTAATCTTTGTTGAAGTGATCAGTTTATATATAATTTTTGGTGTGATCAATTATATTTTGAAAATATTGTAAAGAAAATAATCAGACTCGATCAATGTAAAACTTTAAATTTATTTTGTCATAAATTTTAATCTTCAATGATTGCTTTAAAATAAATTCTAGGTCAACTGGCGGCCGGTATTTTGGGGGTTTGCCATACAATACATTTTTGCCTTGATAATTCTAAGAACAAAGTGGGGATACGAGGCGTTCCAATGGTTGGGTGACCGGGTTACAGAGTTCCTCAACTACTCTAACGCTGGCGCAATATTTGTGTTTGGTGAACTTTACACAAACCACTTCTTTGCATTTAAGGTAAATATATGCATTTCGCATCAACTCACGTTTTTATTTTTCTGAATTCATTATGTATGTATATATATATATATATATATATATATATATATATATATATATATATATATATATATATATATATATATATATATATATATATATATATATATGGCTTCTTAGAGGTCTACATATCTTAAAGTAAGTTATTCTGTCTCTTTGCTTACTGAAGGTACTTCCAGTAGTGGTGTTTTTCTACACGGTTACCTCTGTTCTGTATTACCTTGGGGTCATGCAGGTCATTGTAAAGAGAATGGGAATGTTCCTAGCTTTCTGTTTAGGGACAACTCCCGCCGAATCCCTCAATGCGGCGGGTAACATTTTTGTGGGTATGGTGAGTTATTCAACATTTGAATTTTACAACTTTGAAAGAAGAATTGGAAGACTTTGCCATTTTATTAACTTAAGCTTTTCCACATTTATCATCAATGTATAAAAAGTTTTCTGAATTGTATATGATTAACACAAAAACACATGGATTTAAAAATTACCGAAAGCAAAACTTCAGAACTTGAATTCTAGGTTAAATGAATTGATGAATAACCTACAATAAATTTTCAGACCGAGGCTCCGTTGATGATCCAACCTTTCCTAGAAGATATGACTAAGTCTGAACTTCATGCTGTTATGACTGGAGGTTTTGCTACAATTGCTGGATCAGTCCTGGGGGCATACATAAGCTTTGGTGTAAGACTCTTATCTAATACGAATTAATCACTATTTTGCCTCATCAATTCTTTGTTTATTGTTTCGGGTTTATTTTCATTGGGGTGTACATGTAAGGTTGGGGTAACACTTAAGCTGAACTCTTAATAAAGCAAACTGTCTAAGCATTGTATTTATTTTGATTTTTCTCACAGGTACCTGCAAATCATCTAATCAGTGCCTCCGTTATGTCTGCTCCAGCTGCTTTAGCTATCTCAAAACTAGCATACCCAGAGACAGAAAAGCCAAAAGTCAAGGGCAACGACTTCGACAAGATGGGAAAATCGTAAGTGTTTCAAACGTTTTATTGCCAAGCGTCATTTTACCTATACCATTAAATTGGATGAAATATGAAGATAACGAACAGTATTCAATCTCGAAAGTCCAATGAAACGATACAAATTGGAGAGAGCAAACACGGACCTCAAAATTAAGAGGTGGGATCAGGTGCCATGGAGAAATGAGCATCCCTTGCCGACCAGTCACACACGCCGTGAGCTCCTTGAGATGATCGGGAAAAAAAATCCGTAGACAGTTCAGTGTATAAGTAATGGCCTAACAATTAGTATGAAAAACATCAGTCAACATTTGACTTAATGAAAGGTTGTATGTGATGACAAGGTCATTGTATCGACCATAAAACTTGTGAAATGACGACTGTAAACGAGACTGTTGATATCCTTGTTATATTATGCGGAAGACATATAACATACGAGTCTAATTGAATATTGTATATACATGTATCCAAGATAAGCACATTAAGATGTGAATGTCATCTGAAGCAGAACTACAGAGTAAAAAAATATCTAAAGATGTTGTTAATTAAAGAATATCATCATGATTTGTATCGTTATTCTATTCAGAAATAACATAGATGACCATAGAAAAACTCAAGGTCAAAGAAACTCTTGGAGTGAAAACAATGAACGAACGTTTCTTCCAATGACGATATTATTTATAATTTAAGATTATATGATAGCCACCCAGGAAAGAAAATTTACTTTTGTTTCTAATATTATTTTAAATATCTAGAAAAATACTGAACGATGCTTATTGATGCTTAACATAACATTTTCACTATTAACTTTCTGGCGAAGTTGAACTAGGACTTCGCAATGGCAGTGCGGGTTTCAGGTAAACAAATTGTTAAATGAATGCAAATAAATGAAGCATGGTCAGAATTAATCCTTTTAGAAATCGCAACGCTGATAAAACATGAAATAGTTGAATTAAAAAGAGAATTTTAAAACTACTATTCTCTTTCAGAAAAGACAGAAATGTGATAGAGGCCATTTCCTCAGGGGCCAGTAATTCGGTCAAGGTCGTGGCAGCCATTGCTGTAAACGTCATGGCTTTCTTGTGTGTTTTAGAGTTTGTCAACATGACTCTGACGTGGTTTGGCGACCGTGTTGGTATAGAAAGTCTGTCCTTTCAGGTGTGGAAAAAGTAAAATACTTTTTTATATAAGGTAGGAATATGTAATTCGTGCATTTTTGCTCACCAGAGAAAGTGATCCAAGTGATATTTTTTGACTGAAAGTTGCCTGGAATGTGTTTGAGAGTCCATATGTAATACTTTCACATTTTCATTTTCTTTGGAACTAGAGCCAATTTCAATCAAACCTGCCACAAAGTGTTCTTTCGTGATTTGTGTTCAAATTTAATGAAATTAAGGATCATTCCTTTTTCAAGGAGATACAATTAATGAATTCATAAATAGTATTGGGTTATTAAAATGTGTTTTCTTCATAACCAATTAGCCAGAAAAAAACTAAATATACTTTAAGCTTTCTTCTTGGGTGTTTGTTTTGTTTGTTTGTTGTTTAACGTCCCTCTCGAGAATTTCTAACTCATATGGAGACGCCACCACTTGCCGATGGAGAGCTGCAAATTTAGACCTATACTCTGCACTCAGGGCCCTTGAGCAATGAGGGATCTTTTTTCGTGCCAGCACCTACTGCGACATGGGACCTCGGTTTATGCGGTCTCATCCGAAGAACCGGTCTCCGCGTGCCGCAGTGGGATTCGAACCCCCGAGGTAAGGATCAACTCTTTACACCGAGTGTCTAGTGCAAACTCTCTAACCACTGGCCCACTCGAACGACTTGTCTTGAGTGCAGAAAACCTACAAGAGCAGCAAGGCTGCATTTTGTAAACTCAGCCTCAATATTCATTATACTGTAATTTGATTTTTTTTCAATTCATGATCATTTAGTTTTAGTTGATGATACGATAAGGACTTTCATTTATCTACAAATTTATGTGTGACTTGGTTGAAAATTTGTAGATCAAGGGACTATTGTTTGAATATACACTACATGGGCATAATCTAGGGAATAGGGAAACATAATTTCATACATGTCTTATGACTCCTTCATGAAAATCATATTTGTTTTCATTGCATTACTTTCACAAATTTCTTGTGAAAAAAAAATTATACATAACGTTAAATACATGTATTTCTTATTTCCACTTGCCATGATGTAATGCCATTTTTATGTTCAGCTGATCTGTTCATATGTGTTCTACCCGATCGCCTTCTTCATGGGGACGGATATACCGGACTGTCGTCGTGTAGCGGAACTGATCGGGATCAAAACTTTTACCAATGAGTTTGTGGCTTACACAGAACTCTCCCACCTGATCACCAACAAAAGGAACTTCACGGAGTACACAGCCACGTGGAATTCCTCCTCAGACTGGTTCTATCAAGGGGAGGATATCATTCTGCCATACGTTAATCAGACCCTCAAGAAAGGAATTATCTCGGTAACAAATTCATTTTAATGATATCTACAGTATACGAATTCAATATTTCAATGTTTGAAATTAAGATTTCTTTCCGCATATATCTATTCATAATATATGTTAAGCATTTTTATGTAAAATAAAAATAGAAATACGAATCAACTTTTTTTTTTTACAAAGTGATTGATTGTATGTATATCATTAAATGTATGCATCAATAACATTCTTCTAATTGAACTGTGTATGTATTTTAATAGTGTTTTAATGATTTATAATAAGATGCTGTTCGTAAGTTCACAAAATCATTGTAAGGCCTACGATTAGAGTTTTTGTGGACTATATTTTATGCAGGCTAAATCAGAAGTTATAGCGACGTATGCGCTGTGTGGGTTCTCAAACTTTGGTTCTATGGGGATATTTCTGGGAGGGATGTCGGCATTGGTTCCCTCCCGACGAGGAGATCTTTCAAAGATCGTTCTGAGGGCCATGATTGCGGGAAATGTCGCCTGCTTCTTAACAGGCTGCATAGCAGGTTAGCTTGCTTCTGTCAATAGTGTAAATAGTGTGATAAATGTAAGTAAACATAAGAATATGAGACAGATTCAGAAAGAAAGCTTTGAAGCAGTTTATGAAACAGAATTATTGAAAGTATATATGCACTTATTCTTTCTTTTTGATATATGTATTAATTTTTTTTGTAGGTCTTCTTTACAAAGATTACGGATCGAATTTGTAGAATCCATCACCTTCCGCGTTTTGCAATACTTCGTTATATTTGATTTTTTATTATCGAAAAGTTGTTTCACTTCATCCAAACTTTATTACAAACTAATTACGAAACTATGAACAAAATGCATGTATTGTTAAGCTACAGTTAAATCAATTATTTTTCAGTATGGAATTGGATGAAACACTTATGTCTTTTGTCTCAAACAGTGTTTCTATCTGATTTTATAGAGAGGTTGTGAATTAAATCACAGCAATAAAATGGTTGTATTGCAAGAGTGTTATTACTACTTTATAAGTATGATTTTGTTTTTTGATTGTTGTTTTACGACGCTTTCGAGAATTTTTCCTTGATCTAAGACGTCACCATACATGTATACCGGTGTAGGACTTCTAATTTAAACCTTTACTCGGCACTCAGGACCATGGAACAGTGAGGGTCCTTAATCGTGCCAACCCCTACCGTAACAAAGGACTTCGGATTATAAGGTATCATCCGAAAGACCTGTGACTTTCATCTCTGGTACCGGGTGCTTGGAGAACGAACAGTCACTACCTATGTTAACCTCTACGTTTTGACACGGCGCCGGAAATTCAAGGAGAGCAGTCTACAGTTGCAAGAGATTTAAATGCTGGACAAAGCACCAAACATATGTATTTCACCTATTGAACAGATACTAAAAACAATGTTCAACCCATGATCGGCTGGGATCAGGCTAAACACGAGTACCATCAGCAGCACATTTAATTTCTTCATTCGATGGTCGTTTTCACCAAAGTTTCACAACATCAGCCTTGCCTTGGATACCAAACCAGACCGTTAGCAGTTGACCGAGGATGCTGAGATCAGAGCTGGGAGACATGTTCTTGGCTTTATTCCGATTCCTCAATACCACAGCATTAACTTCGTTGGTCTAAGACCCACATTGGCAAATGGTGTGGTATATTGACGAGTTCAGCTTTTTTCGGTATTTTTTTTTCAGAGGCCAGTTGGAAGAGCAAGCGTTTAAAGGTGTGGTATTACAATGTAAACGTTTTGTGGCGATAGTGTTAGGAAGTGGGCAGATGTGTAGATGTATACTACATGAAACCGCTGTGGTTCATGTACAAGGGACTTGGAGGGCACAACTGTACATTGATGAAGTCCGACAGCCACGTTTTTCCAATAATGCAGCCTTCTGGTGCCGTTCTTCAACATCACAATGCAAGGACGTCTGAAAAGTGCATTCTTGCAAAAACACGACATCCAGGCTCTGTGTTGGCTGTCAAAATTGCCATATTTTAAAAGAAATGAGCTAGCTCGGAAGTATAGTGAGGTAGGTGTGTCAACCAAAGACAACCGAGAGTCTGCAACAGCTGGTACAAGCTCTACAGTTAGAGTGGAATATGCAGGATTTCTTTTTATTTTATAGAGATTTATTGCGTCAAGTCGCTGTTTAATTGTAGATCTGTTGTTTACATGTACTTATTAGCAATAAACATTCCAACGTAACCTTTATATCTCAACGTATCACTAATTTTTTTTCAGAGTATAAGTTCAGTATAATTATTTGGAAACATTTTACAACCTTTTAAAGTCCTATTTTCTATGGTCTTATAAAGGGCAATTTAGGGACTTTATGCAAGCCTGAAATGTGTATTTCAATCCAATTAGGTTCAGAACAGTTAATTTTAATATACATGCCATAGATTTTGAAATGCTTTAGTCCGACAGGAAATATAATATTAGTTAATCCTGCATTGAGATTGTACCGACAGCGAATATATCAATCATCCAACCATGGAAACTGGACCGTCACATCTTTTCCCGTCTGATTTATTGACCGCCCTCTGTCTACATCCATCCTGAACAACTATACAGTTGTCTGGTATGTCGGTGATTTTTGTAGCGGAACTACAATTATAGCAAAAAAAGTTTGTAGCGTTGTGGTCGTATAACTTCTCGTAAATTTTGATAACGAAATTCTTGCCATACAAATGTAGTTTCTGTTCTTAGCAAAAGTGAGTGTCATTCTGAAAATTGTATCTAAAACCTTAGCTCTCACTGCAAAATTGGAAACTAATTAAAATGAAGTTAGCCTAGTCATATATAGATGCAAAACAACATGTAGACTTTAGAATTGCCCTTCATAAAGGCATCCTTTAAGCTCAGTGATATGTGATATGAATTTAAAACTCGAACACAGTATGATCACTTGCATACACTTGCCTAATATCATTATTAGGTCTAACATGCATCACTTACTTGCAACAAAATAATATGCCATCCGTATGGCAGTTGCATGTGATACACCCCTGCTTGTAGGATGACCCCCGAGGCAACTCCAAGTTCACTGGTTTTGTCATCAAACAATATCCTGGAAAAAAATTAAGCACATGATAAACATATCAAACAATCTAAACTTTAGGACACATGCTACAAACAAACAAAACAATGGATGCATGGATTAGAATATATTTTTTTTTACATTTGTTTTGGTTCTAGATATAACAATTCTCTAAAATATTACAATATGACAAAATTGTATACTTTCTATGATATTCAGATTAAATTTCTTTCTTTTTCCAACACATTTTTAAATCAACACAATTTTATTTTCACTTTGCAAAACATTACATAGAAACTTTGAGGAAAAAAAATGACAGACAGACCCTGTAATTGATAAATCTATTTCAATTGGTAAAAATGTTCTTTATGTCTTTATTTTCCAAAATAAAAATCAGACAATCATATACTGATAAAAAATATTTCATACTGGAAATCAAAACATCAAATGTTAAATTCCTGACATTATTGGGTATGCACAGATACTTGACTCTCATTAATACTGCTTTTGATTTATATAACATTTTAAATTTTAAATTATATATATATATCAGTTATTGTTTTACACTTTGAAATTTCTTTTTTGACTTAATTGTCTTCCAGATTTTTAAACTCGATGTTTTTGGCAACACTACATTTTTTCTGTTGCACTCCTGACATGGTATAACATTTTTTCAACATCAGCCATGACCACAACTAGGTCAAACAAAAGTTGCTTCAGTCTACATTTAAAGCTCAATACTTTGAATATTATCAGGGAAAGTCTTTATTTCTACCATAAACCATTATTATTAATTTCACAGAATATTCAAAAAATATGGAATTTTCAAAATGTCACAAAAGGGTGTTGCACTCCTGACATTTTTAGCATCATTTTTGGGTATAACTTTTTTTTGAGATATCAATGAGATATTTTGCAGGTATTTAGACACTGTCTAAAACATATGCTGAGACATAGAAGTTTATTACCATTGCCTGTATTTTAAGTGCAGGTTGATAAATATGTTTTTGGTCATTTTTTAATTCACTTTTTTCCTAGATTTCATTTGATTCATCTAAATGTTCATTTACAGGATCATTCTTTAGGAAACCCTTTGTCACACGGTCATGGCAAATTGGCTTGTGTTAATTTTCCCCTTTTCACCACTGTGTACATGTAATTGTTATCATGCAAACAATTTGTCACCTAGCTATAGATATCCATAAGTAAAGAAGGTTTCCGGTAAACTTTATTTTATTTATTTATAAAATATCACCAACACTAGCCCCCATCCTAGGGTCTCAATTACGTCCCAGGATGCATTTTACAATTTTGGTAGATCATAGAGTGTGTATTTTTTTTCATTAAAATAAATTACCTGCTGAATGTCCATTGCATAGAGAATTACATATTCAAAGACGTGATCTGTATTTTTAATATATATGATCGATTAGGCCGCACTTTAGACCTGAACTATGACCATAACTTTCACAATTTTAGTAAATGGTTGAGCACTTATTACAATCATGCAGTTGTGCCAACTGGATGTCCCTCCGAAAAGATTTCAAGGATGTAATGTGCTTCAGCATGTAAATAAATTAGTTTCACTATTGGGCTTGGACACTAGACCCATAATGAAATATGAAGATTAGTATTCAATCTCGAAAGTCGAATGAAACGATACAAATTTGGAGCAGAGCAAACACGGACCTCAAAATTTAGAGGTGGGATCAGGTGCCATGGAGGAGTGAGCATCCCCTGCCGACCGGTCACATCCACCGAGTGCTCCTTGTCATGATCGGGGAAAAAACCCGGAAAATCCTTTGACAGTTCAGTGTATAAGTAATGGCCTAACAATTGGTATGAAAAACATCAGTCTGCATTTGACTTAATGATAGGTTGAATGTGCTGACAAAGTCATTGTATCGACCGTAAAACTTGCAAAATGATGACTTCAAATGAGACTGTTGATATCCTTGTTTCATCAACTTGTTTGTCAATAATTTGCCTCATTTAAGAAATTGTTCATACGTAGAGCATGCTGATAGACATAAACCCCATATGCAGGTGAAAAGGGTATACCGGTATTGCTACATAAGTAAGGGAAGTTGATGATTGCAAAGTTAAAGTAATCACGTTAATCATAACGCTTTGTTATTAGGTTACCATTAACGTCTTTTTCTAGTAAAATATCTAAATATGAAAGAGATGTTTCAGATTCTGTGGTATCTTTTATTTCAAGCTCACTGGGATATATCGAGTCGACATATGAATGAAAGTAACTATTACTGATTGATAATACGTCGTCGATATAACGAAATGTCTGAGTTGAAGGCCACAGCAAGTGTTTTCTTCTTCTCTTGTAGAAGTTTTTGAATAAATTCTGCTTCGTATGAATACAAAAATAGGTCTCCTAATAAGGGGGCGCAATTGGTATCCATTGGAATTCCAACAGATTGTTGGAAGACCTGATCTCCAAACACTACATAGATATTGTCAACTTCAGAGTACTTGTGTGTACAATCAGAATGCTTTTTAACAAAATAATTTTGCAAATGACTAATGACAAGGTAAGTATACGTACGAGTTCCATTTTTATTGAAAAAAGCAGTTGTCTATGATGTCAAAAAGCCAAGACTTCAATTTATCGTGGGTAATGGTTGTGTAAAGTTTTGATGTTATTGATTTTAATAAAATGTTTGTGATTTCAATTGTCTAAAAGTTCTTTGGAGTTTTTAAGTATCCACATCTGATTTACCCCACTTCTCGAATATACTGTTGTTCAGTACTCCTGAAGTTTCTCCTTCATTACAGTAAATATTAATATATTTTAGTGAGGAGTAAAGAAAGAAGCTTGGTAGAACATTTACTAGAACCCGCTATGTATCTTTGTTTGCCGGAGTTTTTATGAAATTTGGGAATCCAGT